TTCTGTAACTGTGCGGTCAGGAATGCTGCTTCTCCATCCCCTCCTACACCTACGCTCCTTCCTTCACCTCCTCCATTCATATTCTCTCCCGCCTTCCCTCTCTGAGACTCCTCATTTCCATTTCACACGGACAATCCTGCTGGAAACATTATCACTTAGCTTTCCTTTTTTTTTTTTAATATAGATTTCAGTCCTTTGTGCGTCTTTTTCCCCCTCTCCCTATCTCTGTTTTGATTCTCTTTTACCTCTCTGCCTGTTTTTCTCTTCACACGCTTTCCAACCCTCCGCCTCCCTCTTCCTCTCTACTCTCCCTCTTGAGGTACATTACAGCTTTTGAATAAAGATTAGCCAATTATTATAAATCGCCTATAGATACGGAGCTGTGCTGGCAGCTACACACATTGACACGTACTTTGAAAAAGTTGGCAGGCAGTCAGTATCATTCATGTGAGCTGCCTGGATAACATTACAGTGAATCAAACAGGATGGGAAGGTATTAACCGTGCAATTGTCCTTTAAACCCTGATACTAAACTTAATACCTGTAGTATTGAAACGATTGAAACCCTGTGGCACCATACCTTGTCTAGGTTTACATATCACTTTGCAGGATTGAAGAAATTATTTTTCATGTTGAAATGTAAAGTCTAGCTTTTCATAACATGATAGATGCCATTGATCTGGTAAATACAATGTGCACGTTAACTGTGTTGACTTTTTGCCGACATTTGGAAACACTTAAGTCACTGACTTGCTCATTTGCTGCCCGAGTCAAACTCTAAACAAATCCATATCAATAGGTTATTTTGTAACAGAGCTCTTTTGTTTATGCCCCCATTTTATTAAGTTTACTGCAGTTGGAGAAGAAAGCGCGAAAATCATTCATGTGCGTTATTCAAGCCAATGCTTGTAAAACATTGAACAAAAGCCTGTTGGTTTACTGTTGAGATAAAGAGTTGTTGGTTTTTTTCTCTTCTTTTTGATCTCACAACCACACCAATATGTCTAACCCTAAACCCAACCCTAACCCTCATGGTTGAGGAAAATTCTATTTTCCTCCTTTAACTAGACATAAAGAGGACATATAATGCACATTTTAAGGTTCATATATCTCTACTGTGACATGTCTCCATGCTTTAATGTTCAAAAAGCTCTTTATTTTTCTCATACTGCCTGCAGTGTTGCCAACTCCATAGTAAGGAAAGTAGCTATTGGCTGTCCGAAAAGTCACCAGAAGTCCCTAAATGACGTCATCGCCTAATTTGCATATCATGCCATGGCGGCTGGAGAGCATGGGAGAGAGGAGTAATGAAAACGTTCCACCCCGTTCAAGGATCAAAACTTTAAACCACCAGAGTAAATCCAGACGACAGTAGATCAAAAATATCTTTATTAGAAAAAGTAGAAAGTAGAAATAGTTTTAGTAGTTTTTAATAGAAATCTCCCTTACAATAAAGGCAGTAGCCTATGCCTGTTTGTCATCTCCAATAAATGGCTTCAACCATCCAACTCAGGGTTTGATTCCCACTCCTTTCTATACTTTTGTGAATACAGTTTAGACTCTGACATGATGACCTACGTGGATGTTTAGCTTGTCACAGAGAGGTACACACAAAGTGGACGAGGTGATGTGTAGTGATGTGTCGGTCGTGAACGAGCGAGCCGGCTCGTTCGCGTTTTGTTGTTGTTATGATGATCTCCGTGCTACGGGTGCTCCGTGCATGCATGCAGTGACATGTAGCCTAATATCCAAGGATTAGAGACTGTGTTGGGTGCTGCTGTTTTGAGCATTGCAATATATTTATTTTCATTATGTTATTTATTTATGATTATTTTTAGGCTCAGCAAAGATTTGTTGTCAGATTCTATAGGTGTTGGCTATCTGCTTTCTTTTTGCGTGGTTCTACAATCAGAGAGTTACAAGGGTCTGTAAATGCAATGAAAACAATTGGCCACAGCAAATCATGTAGCCTATATTAAAAATGTAATTTTTACTTTTGAATACTTCAGTACAAAGGATGTATTGAATAATTTAAGTGATAGGCTATATGTGTACACATAAATCATTAGTCAAAACAGGAATACATTTGATTGAATTATAAAAGGTATTTTTCGAAGACAAACCTATTAACCCCGGCCCCTTAAAAAAAACGGCTCTTTGGCTCTCGCAGGAACGGAGCCATAAGATCCGGCTCCCTTCAAAGAGCCATAACTCCCATCACTAATTAAGTGACTGAGGCTGTTTGTAAGTCAAAGCAAAGCAAAGGCAGTTATTTATTAGTGTGACAAATCCCGCTCAAAACCATGACGGCGTGGCGGTTGGCGCGTGCGCAATTAATTTGCAGTCTCGACGCAGGAGGGTGTGGCTGTCTCCTCTCTGCTCTGACTGCAGCTGAGCTGCTGCGGGAGGCAACTGTGAGTCTGAGCGCCTGTGAGTACTATGCGAGGGCAGAGGGGCTCATGGCAGCACCCGCGGCTCGTTAACTGCAGAACAATACGTGAATCTCCAAACACCATAAAAGTCTCTAATAACACCATTACAAGTCGTTAGATTTGTCGTTAGTCGCTTTTGACACAAATAAGTAGCTGGAGGGTTTGGAAAGTCGCCAAGTTGGCTAGAGCACCTCTTTTCACCCTCTGTCTGAAACCAGAGCCCAGTCTGCTCTGATTGGTTAGCTGGCCGGCTCTGTTGTGATTGGTCAACCACTTGAGATGTCCCTACCTTTAGCATATCACGTACAATGTGTTGGAGCACGAGCCAATACAATTGTGAGTGTTACATACTGATGTCACTTTTAATATATACATATATATATATATATATATATAGTAGTATTATATGATATAGTATATATATAGTATAACGGAAGTAAACAAGGGAGTCCAATGGAGAAGCTTTCAGAGGGGCGAGGACAGGGGGCTCGATAGAAGAAGCGATCTTGCCCAAAATTGAAGACACTGTATTGCTTTGTCGGGAAAAAAGGTCTAGACAGCCAGAACGCTATAATTTGGTTGTTGTATAGAGGCATCACCTTACATAAACTCTTCCTTATTAAGACTTTTATTCCACTAAATTCAATGGTGGTTATCCCTTCTACACAGCCAGTCCTTACCTTTCCACAGAACACATGAGAATTTCCTGCGCAGAATCGTTTATCATTGTTATGCAAATACTTATAATGCATGATTATTGAAATTGTGATTTTAACACTAAAACCGCTACAGTATTTCCAGGGCAGAATTTGGGACAATATCTGACCAGAACAATCTATATTTTGACAGAAACGCTTAAAAACTGAGACTAACTGCGGGCTTCTCAGAGTTAACTTGATAACATTTGCTAGAATACTAAGAGCTTTATTGAGTAGGGTAACTGGTATTAAGGGTTTAACCTCATAGCTGCTGTGTGATCGGAACTTTAGGGCTTTAATGTAATTGTCCAAAGCTATGGTGGCGCACTAAAAAGTTGTCATTAACCAAAGACTTCAGGAGTGGAGCGAGTTGGCAGTTGCCTATTGAAGGGCCCATCAGCTGCGAGAGAGTTACTAATTAGAGAAGGGGCGTGGGCCCAGCAGCTGTTTGACCAAAACTCTGCAATCGAGGGGGTCAATTTTAAGTAGCAACCTTTCATGGAGGCGTCGACTGGACGAAGACTTTGTGTGTTTGTATGTGTCTGATATGTTGTGTTTTATGTGTTATGTTTGTGTTGTATTGTGTGTGTTGTGTTTCCGACCTCCGAGAACACATATGTATAGTTCTCCATTCCTGTTCATGGCACGTAGCTTCTCGCAATTATTAGGGCGGCCGCTGTGGCATCTGCTAATCGTTATAAGGCCGGGCCCGCTCTCGTCGTATCCTATGCTTCCCCACCTGAGGATCAACATCTCGTTTTCAGGGGGGGCCTGGGAACGGCAGTCAGCTGTTGCCTGAGGGCTGACTTCATGCTGCTGGGCTACGCTTCCCTGCAGTCTCTGGATTTCCTTGCTCTTCCTGGAGACATGGATTACTCCCATCCGAACACATCCACCCCCAGCATCGCTCGGGCGCGGAGCGGGTTCCTTCTCCCGATGACACGCCAGGACTCTGGCAGCAGGAGGGTGCACTGGTCTCCTGCTCTCTCGCCAAGACTGGAGGGCTTTTCCGCTCTTCAGCTACCTAGCTTCGACGGTCCTTCGGGCAGGGCCTTTGTATTGCCAGTTGCCGCACAGTAACCCATTTCGCGTTACAATAACCAGTGTGGAGTGTCGTCGTACCGTCAGGCAGGCGCCTTGGGACTTGCGTTGGGAACGAATGTAGGATCATTCGGTGTGTCCTCGTCAGCACATCCCCTGAAACGCTGGCCCCTTCGCGCGTGTATATTCGTTCTGGAGATTCAAGCCTGCGCGCGAGGGATATGTTGATTATCTTGAACCTAGACATCTCTTTAACCGCCTTTTGCTGTTAGTCAGCGTGTCGTTGGTGGGTTGTTCA